GATACTGAAAAATAAAATTACATACGATCAATAACTAATTATGCATTCAAACTAACCACCAACATTACCTCAGGAGCACAATATTAAAAAAAAAAACTTTAACCAGCAAAACAAAAATATATAAAAGAATTTGTGCTTTTTTTTTTTTAATCAAATATAATATGACGTTTGGTCCGACACAGGTCCGAAATAAATCCAGTCGAGCATTCACACGTGCACATTTGCTCCGGCGTAGCTCCACTAAAGAGCTTATACCGGACCAAATTTGATCCACCTCAGGGAGGTGGTTTAAAAATTTGCTCCAGAGCAAATGCTCGTTTGCGACGCTACGCCGAAACAAATGTGCACGTGTGAACGCAGCTGGATTAAATTTGCTCCAGAGCAAATGCTCGCTTGCGGGGGAGTGGCCTCGCTACGCTCGCTACCAGAAGCACGGAATCCGACCCCGGTCGACAGTGACGAGGGGGCCAGCGACACAGACGAAGCCCGGCCATGGACCCCCGTCCCCGGTAAAAGTGTCGGCGATTTAAGCGGTGAAGACAGCGCTCACGATCAAGACGAGAATCGAGAAAGCAGTGACGTCAACCGAGCCCGATTTGCAGGCCCGAGCCTGAAGCAAACCCGACATTTCATATTTTATTTGTGAGTATTTTTGGGAGAAAAAAACACAAGATTTCTTACGGTTAAAATAATCTACATATTTTTATGAACATTATCAATGCATTTGCACAACGAAATAACGCTGAAATACAGAATAAGAGGCCAGACAAAGAGAAATCTCGATGTGCATTTGCTTAATTACGCAGAGAAATCCTGCGGCTTACTAGGCTTTAAATAGAATAATTCAAACGAAATAAATAGGTAAAGATATCTGAAATTATTTCTACAGGATTGTTTAAACGAAATTAACTATACACGCGCACTGGTCTGGCCGGCCGCGCTCCTGTTTAGCAGTTAAATAGCAATTAAATTACAGCGCATTCTCTGTTTTATCCAAATTGTTTGTTTTAAAACAAGTATTCCTTAGTTTAGTATCCGCACATTGTTTTAGTATACATTTTTTAAAACATATATTGTGGCAGTCATAAGGAGCACACACGATTGACTGTAAACACGTCTTTATTCCACGACTGCCGACAAGTGGATCTATTCTGAACAAGGACAGAATAGTGTCCGCCATAATATTTATTAAAAGAAAAATAAATAAAAGTACGCGAGAGAGAAGCCCGACCCGAACCTGTTTTACTTCTGCATTCCTGTAGTTTTGGTCCGGAGCAGAAATTGTACGTGTGACCGCAAGTGGAGCTGCTTCGACGCTGCGCCGGAGTTGTCACGCTCAGCGGCTTTGCACGTGTGACCGCTCCACAAAATTTGCTCCATTGTAAAATACATCGCAACAAAATATTTCGGTGCATCATCGGACCAAATGTGTGCCGTGTGAACAGGGCTAATGAGCATGTTTTGCAAGGCACAGCTTTTCTAAGCGAGGTTTGAAGCACAGGACACAGCAACTCTCGGCTCCTGCTCAACGTGTAGACCTGTATTTTAGTTTACTGAAGTAGCAGCCACAAAGCGGCATGATTGTTGGCAATATTCGGCACATTATCGCTGAAAAAAAACTCAAGCAGCTTATCAGCGTGATTGGGGTGTAATGGCTTTAAGTGACGCCTTAATTTATTTGGCTTCATGCTGTCCGCTACCAAAATTTTTAGACACAGTAGGCACATCGATCTTTACTCGTCTGCCACCGCAGTCACATTGAAGCCAAGCGCTACATACGCCTCATCATATTTCCTCCCTTCGAATGCTCCCTGCGCAAACTCTGCCAATGAGAGCGCCACTGCCCCCTAACGTAGTGGAGGTGCAACTGCATGTTATTTTAGGACAGTAAAAAAATAAAAAAGCATGTTCCCCGAGGTATAACGCGCTCCCCTCGATGGAGCCTCGCGCCCCCCCAGGGGGGCGCGCCCCACTATTTGAGAAACACTGCCATAACCCAACCCTGTATAAGCGGTAGAAAATGAATGGATGGATGAGTGTTCATGCCAACACTATACATTGGAGTGGTTATTGGGGGCAGGGTAATTAATTAACCGTGCACCGTAAATAAAACACATTACAAAATTTCTATTCAATACACTTTTATTAAATCCATTTCAGACAGTTCATATAAAACAGCAGCAATGTATATTATAGTATTTTCATGTGAACACTGTCCATCATGCCTGTAATAAAATCAGGTCAGACACAGCCGTAACAGTGAACAAATCCTCCTCAATTTTAAATGCATTCAGGTCATCATCAAACATACATTTGTGGTCAAAAGAAATGCCTTATCGACATCCACTTGTGAGGGGATACATTTTCAGTAACCGCACATAAAGGCATTTCATTCAGTTCCATAGTTTTTCACTCAGGACATTGTAGGACATCTGTCTCTGTGTGAACGCTGCCTTTATTTTGACACATTGAAAGCCAGTAGGCTGTTTCACCAAACATTTCATCATGGACATGCATTCATCACCTGAAGACTGTTCAGATGATAAATGTTCTTGCACAGTCTTCGGGCCAGTTTCAAAATGACATGGTAGCAAAACAGACAAGAGTATGGACACAAGACAAAGGACGTTTGGTCTTACATATCATATAATTTACTTATTACTTTTGGAGAATGCGTATACTGTATTGTTTGTTAAGCAGCTGATGGTCATTAAACATAAGAGAGTTAGTTGCGCTACTCACCAATCCAAAAAAAGGTCACATGCAGCTCATCACAGCTCATGAAAGTTTTGCCTACCTTGGGGGAGGGCATCATTCATTACATAGAGCCATGGTTTCAATTTCAAATGGACACCAAATAGAGTCAAATCCAGGTGACACCCTAACAATATATCAGTGTTAACATCCTAGATAGATAGGAATTTTGTTTTTTTCCATAAATCACCGTTTTAAAACTTTTTATGTTTACTTGGATTGTCTGTCTGATATTTATATGTGTCTGATCTTAAACATTAAAGTGTGAAACAATGCAAAAAAGTAAGAATTTGACAAGAAGGCAAATCATTTTTCACAGTACTGCAGTAACATTACTGCGGATGTCTGAAGGAGTGCTACCTCTTACATTTTGGGGAAAATGTATCTGCTATTTCTCCATTATCAAATAATTTAAATGCATTCAAAAATCACTGATTGTTTGCAAATAATTCATATCCCTATCCCAGGGCTCGGCAACCCAAAATGTTGAAAGAGCCATATAGGGCAAAAAAAAACCTAAAACAAATATGTCTGGAGCCGCAAAAAAAAAAAAAAGCCTTCTATAAAACTTACAATGAAGGAAACACATGCTGTATGTATGTAGGAGACTGGACTGTGTCAGAATTGTTTGTTATTCATTCCTTTGTTGTGTGTTCACAAACACCCCCATAGAATTTATTTTGTAATTTCCTCGCTTGATTTTTTGTTTTGGTGCATTATTTTTGCTTTTCTTAGTGTCAGTGAAGTGATCATTAATTTCCGTTTTTCTGAGTCTGTCTTTGAACGCCTCTCGAGTTGAACGAGAAGAGAGAAGGCACGGAGTCGGACGCAGACGTGTCTGTTTGTCGAGACTGTTAAAAGCATAAATAAAGTGTAAACCAACACCACAGCTCTCCTTTTTCGGAGCTGCAACATGTATCTGTATCTATTTGAGCTATATTAGCCCACTATCAAAATCTTTTTCCATTTTCAAACATTTTTTTATAAAGCTCCAGGGATCCACTAGATGTCGCTAAAGAGCCGCATGCGGCTCTGGAGCCGCGTGTTGCCGACCCCCGCCCTATCCAATGCATAATTGAAAGTCCTGAACTATTATACAGTGTTTAAGTGATGTTGCTCACTTTAAATGAAAATACGACAAGCTGGTCAGGGAATACCGTCGGACTACATCTAACGTTTATTTTGACAATTGAAATTGTCGTATTTTTGTGATGAATCAATGGATCAGATTTTTTTCCATGAACATTGCATAAAAGCTGAATTTTCGCTGTATTTGTGTGTGCACAAAACCAGCGAATCCAGATTCTCCCAAGCCTGCTTATTCGTATGTGGTGCGGACCAATCACCAAGCAAGATATGGAACTATGATGAAAGCTTTTTTGGTTGACAATCGGCTTGATTAAAAAAAATAATAATAATAAATAAAAATCTGTTATTTACACAGCCTTTATCTGCATACTTACATCGTAAAAAATGACACCTATCACTCAATACCATGATACCATCTGAGATAACAGGACTCAGCTGGTCAAAACATTTTCATTTATTGCCGGGATTGGTCAAAACAATAAGTTGGTAGGCATGTACAAGTTGATGTCCCACCCAATCCCTTATTGATGTAAATAAAAGAATATATTGTCTTAAAAATGGAGCGGCCCGGTAGTTGAGTGGTTAGCACGTCGACTTCACAGTGCTGGGTTCAATTCCAGCTCCGGCCTTCCTGGGTGGAGTTTGCATGTTCTCCCTGTGCTTGCGTGGGTTTTCTCCGGGTCCTCCGGTTTCCCCCCACATTCCAAAAACATGCATGGCAGGCTGATTGAACACTCCTAATTGTCCCTAGGTGTGAGTGTGAGTGCGAATGGTTGTTAGTTTCTGTGTGCCCTTCGATTGGCTGGCAACCGGTTCAGGGTGTCCCCTGCCTACTGCCCGAAGACAGCTGGGATAGGCTCCAGTATCCCCCGCAACCCTAGTGAGGATGAAGTGGTTCGGAAAATGAATGAATGAATTATCTTCAAAACATTTCATTAATTTCACCAAATAACTTACTCGCGGCATATCTTATGGCAGTTTGTAAAAATCACCTTGTGTTAAAAACCGATGAGGCAGTGGGGGGGGGGGGGTCATTGACGTAATCATCATGTGACACAATCACATCGATTGGTTGGCAACACTTTTTTAAATTCATGTTATTTATTCATTGTTTCAGTCCAAGAACAAAGTCACTATGTGTTTTGTAATTCCTCCAGCCTTCGCTCATCCAGTGCCAGCCAGATGAGCAAACTGACCATGGCCTCAAACGATTCGGACATTCTGGCTGCGGGTGGTAGTCAGGAATCATTGGGGGAGGAGAAACGGGTGACGGACAGCGACCTGATCCATTACAGCTACTCGTTTTTTCATTTCATGCTCTTCCTGGCGTCTCTTTACATCATGATGACCCTCACAAACTGGTACAGGTCAGTACTGCCATCACAACCAATCCAAGATGAAGGATTTCATCTTGGACTGTTTTACAGTAGCAGACAAGAAATTGATGAAGGATAGCATTGACTTGATGAATGATTTACCTTAATCTGAGATCACACAAGTTCACATTGAAAAGATGTCCATATCAAATACTGATCAAAATAACAAACTAGAATTGAGAGAGCATTTTTGCTCTCTCAACTCCAATTGGTGATTGGTTTCTGAAAACCGGAACCTGATTGACAACATTTTATGTTTATAAAGTAACTAAAACTATCATTCCAGTGAAAATGGCCTTGGTTTTTGTCTTTGTCAATTTCAGACACCCCTCCGTGAGCCGTCACCTTACCGTGGTGGAGGGGTTTGTCTGTCCCAATGATCCTAGGAGCTAAGTTGTCTGGGGCTTTACGCCCCTGGCAGGGTCACCCATGGCAAACAGGTCCTTGGTGAGGGACCAGACAAAGCATGGCTCAAAAACCCCTTGTGATGAATGAAATGAATGGATCTCAGTTTCCCCTCTGGAGCCAGGCCTGGAGGTGGGGCCAGGCTCAGCCCGAAGAGGCAATGTGGGTCCCCCTTCTCATGGGCTCACTACCCATGGGAGGGGCCAAAAGGGTCGTGTGCAGTGTGAACTGGGCGGGCAGCCAAAGGCGGGAACCCTGGCGGTCCGATCCTCGGCTACAGAAGCTAGCTCTCGGGTCGTGAAATGTCACCTCTCTTGCAGGGAAGGAGCCCGAGCTGGTGTGCGAGGTAGAGAAGTTCCGACTGGATAGTCGGACTTACCTCCTCACACAGCCTGGGTTCTGGTACCAGTTCTGTCGAGAGGGGTTGGACTCTCTTCCACTCTGGAGTTGCCCACAGTGAGAGGTGTAGAGCAGGTGTGGGCATACTCTTTGCCCACACCTGCCCACACCTCAGTGCCTGTACAGTGGGGTTCACACCGGTAGATGAGAGGGTTGCCTCCCTCCGCATACCCACCCTTTCTGGAGTCCTTGGAGGGTGTGCTGGAGAGTACTGCTGCTGGGGACTCCCTTGTTCTCCTGGGGGACTTCAGTGCTCACGTGGGCAATGACAGTGAGACCTGGAAGGGCGTGACTGGGAGGAACGCCCCTGCCCCCCCGATCAGAACTTGAGTGGTGTTTTGTTATTGGACTTCTGTGCTCATCACGGATTGTCCATAACGAACACCTTGTTCAAACATAAGGGTGTCCATATGTGCACCAGGACACCCTTGGCCGCAGTTCGATGATGGACATGCGGCCACATGTTTGGGACACTCGGGTGAAGAGAGGGGCCGAGCTGTCAAATGATCACCACCTGGTGCTGAGTAGGCTCCGATGGTGGGGAAGATGCCGGTCTGACCTGGCAGACCCAAACGTATTGTGAGGGTTTGTTGGGAGCATCTGGCGGAATCCCCTGTCAGAAGGAGTTTCAACTCCCACCTCCGGCAGAGCTTTTCCATATATCCCGGGGGAGGTGGGGGATCGGTGCAGCGTCTGCTGGGATGCGGACTTTGTATCGGTCTGTCGTGGTAGAGAAGGACCTGAGCCGAAGGGCGAAGCTCCCAATTTACCGGTCGTTCTGTGTTCCAACCCTGATCTGTGGTCACGAGCTTTGGGTCGTGACCGAAAGAACGAGATCACGGAAACAAGCGGCCGAAATTAGTTTTCTCCACAGGGTGTCTGGGCTCTCCCTTCGAAATAAGGTGAGAAGCTCGGTCAACCGGGAGGGGCTCAGAGTCGAGCTGCTTCTCCTCCACATCGAGAGGAGCCAGATGAGGTGGCTCGGGCATCTGATTAGGATGCCTCCTGAATGCCTCCCTGGTGAGGTGTTCCAGGCATGTCCCAAGATGTTCACAGACCAGCCAGGAGACAGTCTGTCCAGCGTGTCTTAGGTCATCCCCGGGTACTCCTGCTGGTGGGATATGCCTTGAACACCTCACCATGGAGGTGTCCAGGAGGCATCCTAATCAGATGCCCGAGCCACCTCATTTGGCTCCTCTCGATGTGGAGGAGAAGCAGCTAGACTCTGAGTCCCTCCCACATTACCGAGCTTTTCACCTTATCTCGAAGGGGGAGCCCGGACACCCTACTTGGGAAACTCATTTCGGCCACTTGTATCCGGGATCTCGTTCTTTCTGTCATGACCCACAGCTCGTGTCCATAGGTGAGGGTATGAACATAGATCGAGCAGTAAATCAAGAGCCTCGCCTTTGGGCTCAGCTCCTTCTTCACCACGAAAGACCAATACAAAGTCTGCATCAGAGCAAACACTGCACTGTCGATCTCCCACTCCATCTTGCCTTCCCTCATGACAAGACCTCAAGATGCCTAAATCTCCTCCATTTGGAGCAAGATCTCATCCCCAACTAGGAGAGGGCACTCTATGGCTTTTCAACTGAGGACCATTGTTTTAGATTTAGAGATGCTGATTTTCATCCCAAATGCATCACACTCGGCTGCAAACCGTTTCATTGAAAGTTGGCGATCCCGGCTTGAAGAATCCAACACCACCACATCAGCTACAAAAAGCAGAGATCCAATACTGAAGCCACCAAACCAGACCCACTCAATGCTTTGGCTGCACCTAGAAATTCTGTCCATAAAAGTTATGAACAGAATTGGTGACAAAGGGCAGCCTCTGCGAAGTCCAACCTTCAGGCTGAGGAGTGTGATTGTGCTCTATTCGGAACACACCTTCTAGCCCCCCTTCTTAAAAAGAGGGACTACCACCCCAGTTTGCCAATCCAGATGAATCCAATTTAGTGCTGACAATGTGAACCAAATTCTGACCTTGGTAATATTGGAACTGAACAGCCCGCATTAGGTGATTTGGTACTCCTCAAGCACACTCCACAGAATTCCCTGAGGGACAGGGTGGAATGCCTTCTCCCAAGTCCACAAAGCACTAGACGGTAGACTAGCCATACACCCTTGAGGACCTGCCAAGGGTGTCGGAACTAGTCCATTGTTCCACGGCCGGGAAGAAAACCACATTGCTCCTCCTGAATCTGACTGGACATCCTGACGGAACCTACTCTTCAGCACCTCTGAATACACCTTACCAGTGAGGCTGAGGAGTGTGATTGCGGTCTATTCGTAACACACTTTCTGGCCCCTCTTCTAAAAAGAGGGACGACCACCTCAGTCTGCCAGTCCAGATGCACTGTCCCTGATAACCACGTGATGTTGTGGAGGCGCGTCAACCAGGACAGCCCCACTACATCCAGAGCCTTGAGGAACTCAGGGCGATCTCTACCGCCTAGGAGCTTTTTACCACTTCGGTTACTTCAACCCCAGAGGTAGGAGAGCCCACCTCAGAGTCCCCAGACTGTGCTTCCTCTAAGAAAGGCATGTCGGTGGAGTAGAGGTCTTCATAGTATTCTGCCCAGCGACACACAACATCACGGGTTCTAGTTATTAATGCACCATCAACACTATACACAGTGTTAATGATGCACTGCTTTGCCCTCCTGAGACACTGGATGGGGACCAGAATTTCCTCAAAGCCGTCCAGAATTCGTTTTCCGTGGCCTCACCAAACTCCTCCCACGCCCAAGTTTTTTCCTGAGCAACCGCCAAAGCTGTGTTTCACTTGGCCAGCCGGTATCCATCAGCTGAGTTCAGAGTCCCACCTTCCCATGGGCTCACCACTGTGGGAGGGATAAAAGGGGTTGGGTGCTTTGGTGCTGGGCGGTGGCCAAAGGCGGGGATCTTGGCGGTCTGATCCCTGGCTACAGAAGCTAGCTCTAGGAACATGGAATGTCACCTTACTAGCAGGAAAGGAACCAGAGCTGGTGTGTGAGGCAGGACTTTCCTCCACACAAAGCCTGGCTCTGGTACCAGTTCTCGCAAGAGGGGTTGGACTCACTTCCACTCTGGAGTTGCCCACGATGAGAGAGACAGAGCAGGTGTGGACATACTCATTACCACCCAGCTCAGTGCTTGTACATTGCAGTTCACATTGCAGTTCCCACCAGTGTATGAGAGGTAGGGGAACTGACTGTTGTTTGTGCCTATGGATCAAACAGCAGTTCAGAGTACCAAGCATTTTTAGAGTCCTTGGAGGGTGTGCTGGAGAGCACTCCCTCTGGGAACTCCCCTCGTTCTTCTGGGGCACTTCAATGGTCACGTGGGCAATGACAGTGAGACTTCTAGTGGCTTGATGGGGAGAAACGACATCACCCGACACCGATCAGGACTCAAGTGCAAATTCTGTGCTCTTCACAGATTGTCCATAATAAACACCATGTTCAGACATAACGGTGTCCACAGGACACCCTTGGCTGCAGCTCGATGATTGACACTGTGGTTGGAGCATCAGATTTGCAACCACATGTTTTGGACACTCAGGTGAAGAGAGGGGTGGAGCAGTCGACTGACAATCACCTGGTGTTGAGGTGGCTCAGATGTTGGGAGAAATGCCGGTCCAACCTGGCAGACCCAAACTTATTGTGAGGATTTGCTGGGAGCACCTGGCAGAATACCCTGTCAGCAAGAATTTCAACTCCCACCACTGGCAGAGTTTTGCTCATGACCTGGGAGAGGCGGGGGACATGGAGTCAGAGTGGACCATGTTCCACGCATCTATTGTTGAAGCAGCCCATCGGAGTTGTGGCTGTAAGGTGGTCTGTGCCTGTCGTGGTGGCAACCCTCAAACCCGAGGGTGGACACTGGCAGTAAGAGATGCTGTCAAGCTGAAAGAGTAGTGCTACCAGGCATTTTTGGCAGGACTTAAATACACCATCTCGCATGAAAAATGTAATCCTGTAAAAGAATCTACATTTTTCATAAACGTAACCTTCATCTGAGTTGTGGTTTTTTTTCCTGTTTCGGTTTTTTTTGGTATCCTGAATACGTAGCATCAGTTCATGTATTCCATCACTCCCCAAGTCTGTATAGCTAAAACATATAAAAATTAAAACGCAGCATTTTCAAAAAAGAAAATAAAAAATAATTTAAAAAATTAACTACCCTGATCTAAAGACTATTAAGGTCATCGTTGGTCTACTTTGGAATGTGCCATTTTGGTACTATCAATTAATCAATCCATTAATCATTTACTAGACTGCTGCATTTTCAAACTCTTAAAAAAATTGTTTTTTTTTTTGCACTTCGCCTCAACTATCCTCATTTCTGAGAAAATCATATTTATCAAGAACTTTAAGTGTTATTAACATCAATTCATTGAGTATGTATAGTAATCCCTCGTTTGTCACGGTAAATGGGGACCAAAACCACCCGTGCTAAACGAAAATCCGCGAAGTAGCGACCAATTATCATATATATTAAAAAAATTGTCCCACGTGGGCCTTTGCGCTTGAGCAGAGCTCACTAACACACGCACACACACGCACACACACACACACAGGCCAGCGATCCCGTTGGCGTGCAGCAGACATGTTTATGATTAGTCAATTAAGGTTGTTTAGACAATTAAGGATGGAGAGACCTGCTTTTGTTCTTATAAGTCTCTCTCTCTCTCTCTCTCTCTTTCTCTCTCTCTCTCTCTCTCTCCCTCTTTTCTCTCTCTCTCTCGCTCTCTCTCTCTCTCTCTCTCTCTCTCTCTCTCTCTCTCTCTCTCTCTCTCTCCCTCTCTTTGCTCTCTCGGCTCTCTTTCTCTCAGCAACACACATACACTCACCTTCCGGCCCATGCGTGCACGCACACACACATGCCCCACGTGGACCTTCCACGCTTGAGCAGAGTGCGCACACACTAGCACGCATAGTAAACAACACTTAGACACTGATTTTTGCGGACTTCAAAAAATGTTTGAAAATATCAGCGATGCACCGAAGCCGCGATAAATGAACCGCGAAATAGCGAGGGATCACTGTATGCAATAATCGACATGGCAAGATCATTTTAAAAGTATTAAACTTTGTTTTATAACATAATTTAAAATGCTACACTTACTAAAAAAAAATTCCTCCTCCTAGTCCAAATGCAGACTACACCATAACCAGAAAATGGCCAACCGTGTGGGTGAAGATCACCTCCAGCTGGTTGTGTCTGGCCTTATACATCTGGACCTTGGTGGCTCCCATGATTCTCACCAACAGAGACTTCAACTAATTTCCGGAGTGGACATTGCTTCACAAAACTCCTGCATCTCCCTTGTTCTATCAGTCATGTTGTGAAGTTTATTCCTTTTAATTGACGTCTGTTTTTTTTTTTTTAATGGAACGGAAATTGAAGATCCACAATGAGGTAAATTAGTTTCAACTCATTACAAGACATATTTTAAGATTACAATAATTTTGTTGCTTTTATGTTAAATACCACTGAAATATTCTCCTTTGATTAGGTTAGTCTACTATGTCTCTCCAATGCCTTACAATTGTTCAGTCTTATTTGTACATAATAAAAAAAATACTTTTTTGGACAGACATTTGTCATAAATTACTATGCCTACACACATTTATGAATATCAAATGCTGTTTTTGCCATATATTTATGTTGAAATGTGTTTTTTAAGATAAAATGTATATGGGTCAATGACAAATGTATGTTTATGAAGTATTTTCTGTATAGATTAATGGATATTTTTGAGTCCAGAAAAACTTGAACTTGAAGTCTCATATTTAAACAGAGATAAACTTGTGTTTTGTTTTGTTTAGTTTTTTTAATCAACGCTAGGCAAAAGCTAGCATCCCGGCGGAATCGAGCGGTAGCTTTGCAGCTAGCTCCATCAGTAAAGCTGCATTCACCCTATCGTCATGTCCCACTTTTCTGGGAGGTCAAAGAAGACTTCCCTGCCAGCGCAGCCTCAGAGGATGAATTCAGCAGATTTGGCTGCGCCCACCTGTGCGCCTGTTGTAGGGACGACAGTGATCCCATGCTATATCGCTCTTCATTTAACACGGCTTCACTGCATCGCAGATTTTTTTTCTCAAGTCCTGTATTCAGAAAAAAATGTAGAATGACTCAGGGGTTTTCATGGCTGTACATATGATTGGTTCCCGGCGCCGACATCGACCAATGACAGCACAGTGGATTCATCCCGTGAGGTGATTGGCTAGATGCCGCGCCCAGCACCTACCCTTGTGTCTCATCACTTGGTCAACACTGATCAGTGTCTCATCATGTGGTTGACCCTGATCAGTGTCTTGTCAACTGGGGGTCGGCAGACGCTATAGAGCGAGTGCGAGAGTGAAAGTGAAAGTGAGCGTGAGCGAAAGAAAGAGAAAAAGAGGGGGTGATTGGGCTTATCCGAAAAAAGCAGCATGTCTCTCTTCACCACCTCCTCATCAATACGGATTAATTGTCTTATCATAAACATGGCTGCGCGGGGATAGCTGGCCAGCAGCTAGCTGGAGGATAACGGAGGCTTCACTGTCAGCGCGGTGTAAAGTGAAAGTAACACAAGTCTCTTTCTCTCTGTCAGAAGGCAATGCTAATGAATGTTAATTACTGTATAAGGTTTTATAATTAAAGATTTAAGTAAATACGTGTACTGCTGTAGTCTTTGTGTCAAATATCCATCCATTTTCCGATCCACTTTATCCTCACAAGGGTCCCGGGAGGTGCTCGAGCCTATCCCAGCCGTCTTCGGGCAGTAGGCGGGGGACACCCTGAACCGGTTGCCAGCCAATCGCAGGGCACACAGATGAACAACCATCCGCACTCACCTTGGGACAATTTAGAGCAACCTGCCTCAACTGGCGGACCGAAATCCACTACCAGACCGCCGACCACCTCTGTCCGGACCTCCTCTGTCCGGACCCTCGGCAAATTGTATAAAATAATAATTTACAAAGTGATTTTTACGTTATACATTTTATATTTGTGGACTATAATCTGCGCATTACCACGATCGCTTGTTAAAAATTATCCGTTGTATTCTTTGCGTGCACTAACATGTATTGCAGAGGACCGCAGTAGCGCGACTGTGTTGTATAATGTTTGACTAACTGGAGACCCTGGCTGAGCAGGGCATGTCGGAGATAACGATGCGCTGATTGGCTCCTCTGAATTTAAAGTGTGCCCATACATAAGCGTCAGCACGCGTCTATCCCAATACACACGCATTCAAAATGGATAATTGTGTCAGGAAACAGACGCATGCGCGACGCCACAGTGTGCTCACAGCTTCAGTCCAGGAGAGCCGCACATAGACAATTAGACAAGACGAATCGCGGGAGGTTTCGATTGTGTGCAGTTTTGCTCCCGTCTACCCGGGGATCTTTGCAGCTGTTTTACAGCAGAACACCGCAACATGGTAAATGAACATCACAATGGCGTCCTCAAATAATATTTGCGTGCCTCAGACATTGCATTCACCTTTAGTGGAAGAACAGCACTGCACATTCCTGTGCTCCCTTGTGTCAGTATTTAAAATGGTTCTTAACTCCACTTCTGATATATTTTTCAGTGATTTCAGAGGGAATGTGAAAAGGGGAATTGTACAAATGAAAAGGATATTTTTGTTTTCATGTTTAGTGTTTATTTTGGTAAAATGAGTATTTTGTTTTTGTTAAATTAAGGGAAAAAAAGACAACTACTGTTTAGCAAAGTTAAAGGAAAAATGTCTTTTTTCCCTAAAAGGGCTATTTCTATTATTAAGCAGGCACAACTTAACAAAATAAAAGAGTTCCTGTGCCTCAACACAAGACCTCTCATTATTTGCTGTGTCCTGGCAAAGTGAATAATTGTTATTTTCATGCACCCCATTATTGGTTGGTTGTGAGGAGTGTTGATTTGTATAAGCTTGGTTTGACCATACCAAATGGGCATATAGCCCTGCTCCCCATGACCGCTGTGCATGGGACCGGACCTTGGTCTTATTTTCAAAAAAAAAAAAGTGGACCTACAGCATTTCTAGTTGAGGACCACTGATTTAGAGCAATGTTTTTCAAACCCTGTGCCAGTGTGCCGCAAGATATTGTCAGGTGTGCCGTGGGAAATTATCCAATACGTATGCCTGTGCGGTCTCTCGCCTGTCAGAGTAATCATGCAGTACTCTTCCATACCGGTAGGTAGCAGCAGCAGCTAGCGAATTGTCTTGTGCTTGGTATGTGATGAAAAGCAGCTCTTACAGCTTAATCTCCTTCTCCAAACAAAACACCCTTCACTTCGAAACAACAATGTGGAGTATTTTGTTTGCCTGCGTGAACACACGGAGAAACAAGCAACGTGCATGAGAAAAACCGCAAAGGTAAACGAGAGCCTTGAAAGCAAGTTACCATGTTGCTGAACATGTAGCTAAATTAAAAAATTCCCAGTGGCAGAGCAATTAATACTTCCCGCCTGCAAAACCATTGTAAATGAGATGTTCAGACCCGAGGTGGCTAAAGAAATAGCCTGACTGCTGTAAAAACAAAAACATAGAAGAATGAGAGCTGTGGAAGAACAGTTTTCTGTGTCTTTCATCGATTGCTGCCAGATTAACAGATCTGTGTTAATCCAAACCATTTATCACACTGAGAATAAATATGAAAGATAATAAAATATTTGATTGATGTTGATTTGATTCCTATTCAAGGTGTTATAATACTGTACATCAAATTAAGGTGATTAATTCCCTTTTCGTGCCATTTAGGAAGATAGATTTTTTTTCTCACAAGTATATTAGAGTTGTTCCAAAGGAAAGCTTTATGAGGTAAAAAATGATGGAGAAAAGGCCAAACCCCACGCAAGAAGGGCCTGTTGATAAAAATGTGATAATAGGTAATTCATCCATCCATTATCTGATCCGCTTATCGTTCCAAGGGTCACGGGGGATGCTGGAGCCTATCCCAGTTATCTTCGGTCAGTAGGCGAGGGACACCCTGAACCGGTTGCCAGCCAATCGCAGGGTACACACAGACGAACCACCATCCACGGTCACACTCACACGAGGGACAATTTGGAGTGTTCAATCAGCCTGCCATGCATGTTTTTAGAATGTGGGAGGAAACCGGAGTACCCGGAGAAAACCCACGCAGGCCCGGGGAGAACATGCAAACTCCACACAGGAAGGCCCAAGATAGAATTGAACCCGGTACATCTGCACTGCGAGGTCAACGCGCTAACCACTGGATCACCAAGCCACCCTGATAGGTAATTCGTTTGTCAATAAAATACTCTGAAAAAGAAAATGAAGTTGACTAGTGAGGGAAGTTACTTTCTTTTTTCAAGGGCAAAAAATGCCGTTTTCTTTCCCTTTACTCCAACCATCGGGCCCGAGATCTAATAAATGCCCCTTTTGCCATGTCTAAGTAGATCTGACCAACTATAGTTGAATCTCTTTCAATACTCGTTCTACAGTGAGATTGTTCTTAAAATAAATGGTCAAGTTTAGCTCGTAGCTCAGCTGCATGCATCAACAACGGCAGACTTTTCTCGAAATAAAATGTTGCAGATTGATATTGATGTTTCCTAATTAGGAGATGTGAGATGAAAATTTTTAACAGCAACATTATCCATCCATTCATCCATACGTCCGTCCATCCATCCATCCATCTATTTGTCCTGAATGGAATTCTTTCCAGCAACATTATGAAACGTAATTTCAGAAAATGTCTTATTCAGAAGGGTGTATCAAGCTGGTAGCCCTTCGCAATGATCAGTACCCAAGAAGTAGCTCTCATTTGCAAAAAATATTAGTAACCCCTAGTCTAGACGAAATGCACATGAACAATGACTTGAGCAAGACGAAATTATCCGACTGCTTGACGTCGGTCCATGCGGTCCTTATGTCGTCCCCATAATTGTGGTGGCAGACGTGCGCAGCAGGAAAACCGGGAACGCCTCTGCCACCTGCTGGACACCAACGGAACGTGACCATTTAATACAGTATCGGAACGGTTTTTACTGATGCCTGAACAAAGGCGACAACGACATAAGGTAAGCCACAGAAAATGACAAAACAATGCAGCTTCTTATTAACAACAATGATCCAAACATACGTAGATGACGATTCATAAGATTCCCATTCCAGCTGTACACAGCAAAATCAATTAAATTTAACTGTTTAAAACATGTCTACATTGGTCAACACTGAATACAGTGATCCCTCGCTATTTCGCTGTTCGTTTATCGCGGCTTCGGTGCATCGTGAATATTTTCAAACATTTTTTGAAGTCCGCAAAAATCAGTGTCTAAGTGTTGTTTACTATGCGTGCTAGTGTGTGCGCACTCTGCTCAAGTTTACTGTGTGTGCGTGCACGCATGGGCCGGAAGATGAGTGTATGTGTGTTGCTGAGAGAAAGAGAGAGAGAGAGAGAGAGAGGGAGACTTATAAGAACAAAAGCAGGTCTCTCCATCCTTAATTGTCTAAACAACCTTAATTGACTAATCATAAACATGTCTGCTGCACCCAACGGGATCGCTGGCTTGTGTGTGTGTGTGCTTGTGTGCGTGTGTTAGTGCGCTCTGCTCAAGCGCAAAGGCCCACGTGGGACAATTTTTTTTATATATATGTTAATTGGTCGATACTTCGCGGATTTTCGTTTATCACGGGTGGTTTTGGTCCCCATTAACCGCGACAAACGAGGGATTACTGTATAGTTAAAACAACACTTTTGAAAGTGTTTATTTTTTTACACTGAGGAGAGGTTAAAACATCTCTGATTGTAGTTGAAATTTAACATGAGTCAACACTGGTCAGTGTTAAATTTACACTACACTAGTGTGCTGTGTTAAAATATTACACCATCAAGTCTTGTACTTTTTAACCGTCAGAATGAGTTGCTTTCATAAAATATCACAAATGTTAATTACTAAATATTTAACTCTGGTAGACAGTGAAATGTATATATACACTCTCGTGTCAATTTAAAGGTTTGATGTACTTCCGCTAGGCGGCCTGGTCCAGTTACCGCATTGACCTCACAGTGCAGAGGTAGTGGGTTCAATTCCAGTTCCGGACTTCCTGTGTGGAGTTTATGTGTGGACTTTTCTTACACTCACAATGTGGAACAGTGTGCAATCAAGTGTAACACAATGAAAACCTTTGAAAATTTTTTTTCAAAAATTATACTTTAACCTTATTTAGGACATGAAGGGCAAATTTGAAACATCAGATCATCTTCTATTTTGCCTTCATATTTTTTTATCTGACTCGAGGGAAGAAGTGTCTCACCAGTCATGAACCTCATCGGATGTCACTGCTCCACCGTGCAAATAAGAATTTTTCTAGCATTAGGACCACTGTTGTCATTTTAACTGGTCCATTTTTTTTCAAAAATATTTGCCAGAGTGGTCTGATACGTCACCAAATATAGTGAAACCGTTGCTACGTCGGCAACGGCGCAGAAACAAATCACAGCTCTTCGCGGACTATTTTGCTTGTACAAGCGGCCCACGTGTGTGCACAAAAAAGTACAACTTTAAAAACACTGCCCTGCATATTTGACTTTGACCTCATGGTCAGTGTAAAGGGCACTCAGTGACGGGGGGGGGGTGCAAATGTGTCCCCGGCGTGTACTTTGCCCGGATCTGATTCACTGTGAGGTTGTGTACTACAGTATATAGAGTGTAATGCACATGGATACACAAGCCACTAAACAGGAAACCACTCGGATACTGCATTGAGATCAAGAACAGGAAACGCACGTATGAAACACAATGCAGCAGGACATGAAGAAGCACTTCGGAACAGGTCACAGGTGGATGCTTTGAGCATTGAGACTGGGTAAACGGATTTCATAGGCTGGACGCCCATCCTTTTCAAAATGTCAACAAATATGAATCTTATTTAATCTAATAGTTGAACATTAAGCTTTACAAATATTGTGAATGTCGTCATTCAGGCAGGTTATTGTATCTTTAGGACATTGACTCAATCACAACTGGATGCTATACTTGTCCAAAGGTTTCGCCTCTCATCCGAGCAGGTTTCATCAGTTCCTGCTCTTATGCGAGGTTGGCCTTCAACTTGCCTCTACCTTTTATTTAAATTCCAAGAATAAGAAAATACCACATCAAACACGTGTTAAAAGTTACAGGAAGTACTGGATATCCAAGCGAATTCCAAATAGTAAGGAGTTTACAGAGACAAATGTACATACATTGACTGACACAACTTTTTCACTTTGAGCTTCATTGAATTAAACATTTTTGTGATTGTGCAATAATAAAAGTATTTTGTTTCCCAAGTCTCAAGCTTCTGATATTCAATGATCCATTATAATATAGGAGTGCATAAAGTGAGACAAACAATGTCTCAAACCCTGCAGCCCCACTGCAGCTCGGTTATTTTCAGAATTCTAATTGGACTGATGGGGCCTGATATTTCCTTAATAAGAGGCATCTGTTGTAGATGTTCATTAGCTTGTGTTTGTGTTCTTCTAGAGAGATGCTCATAAGAATCTTCAGCGGAACAAGATAGACCGCAAATGAATTTGCAGGAGATTTTAGTATGAGCAGTGAAAGGAGCCAATCCATCTATTTTCCAATCTGCTTTTCCTCACGAGGGTCACGGGCGTGCTGGAGCCTATCCCAGCTGTCTTCGGACAGTGGGTGGGGTACATTCTGAACTCGTTGTCAGCCAATCGCAGGCCACACAGAGACAACAACCATCCGCGCTCACACTCACACCGAGGGACAATTTAAAGTGTTCCATTAACCTGCCAAGCATGTTTTTTTTTTTTAAATTTGGGAAGAAACTGGAGTATCCAGAGAAAACCCACGCAGGCAGAGGGAGAACATGAAAACTTCACACATGAAGACCGGGGGCTGGGATCGAACCCTGCACCTCTGCACTGTCAGGCGGACGTGCTGAACAGTCGTCCACCATTCCAGGTGAAAGCAGCCATGAAATGAAAAATCGAAATACACATTCCACTGGGCTTTCAGTCACACTTTCAACATTCAAAGATCCTTGTAAGCAAGATATTGACGATAGTAATAATGACGTTTTGCAAATGGCGTCTTAATTTCCAATACAACAGTTGTACTGCAACGTAATGTAACCAGCTTCGAATAATTTTGATTCTCTCACTAAAGTGAGGTAGCCAAAATAATACTGTCTGTGTATTGTTGAATGAATATACCTCTCAGAATCATACCAATTATACCTTTTTGATGTTACAACATTTGATCAAATGATCATAATGTTGTGGCTGGTTGGGGTTTTTATCCACACGATGTATACAACACAGTATAATAAAATTCAAAAGGACGGCATCCTTTGAGGTTAGCAGGGTCCGCCTCATAACGCAGAGCAGCAGGGTTTGATTCCAGGCCTTTCTGTGTGGAGTTTGCATGTTCTCCCCATGCCTGCGTGGGTTTTCTCCGGGTACTCCGGTTTCCTTCCACATTCCCAAAAAGGTACGGCAGGCTGATTGAACACTATATTGTCCCAAGGTGTGCCTGTGAGTGTGAATGGTTGTTTGTCGATGTGTGCCCTGCGATTGGCTGGAAACCAGTTCAGGGTGTACCCCACCTGCTGCCTGAAAGCAGCTGAGATGGGTTCCAGCATGCCTGCGACCCTCGTGAGGATAAGCCGATTAGAAAATGGACGGATGGATGGATGGATGAGGGCCCTCATGTTGTCATCCTTATTTTGTGGTTCACTTTTAAAGCAAGAATTTCAAGGATCACTTGCAGGGATAATGTGGAGTCACAATGACAACATTTTTATTCTGTTGATGTATTTTTTGCAAAAGATCAGAAATACTGTATCGAACACATTATGCAAATACAAATACACACCATACGACTGTATTAATAGGGCAGCTTCCATTTGCGAGAGAAAACTAAATATTTTATACATTTGCAACATTATTCCATTTGCAAAAAACAAAAAATAATAACTACAAGCTTATCTCCAGTGTTGTTACATTTCGACAGAATGAATGACTTTTTTTTTCCAATTTTTGAAACATTTCAAAACAACATCGCGTTGTTGCTCACAATAGATCTTTTTAAACTCAAAGATGAATAACTAACAAGTAAATTAGATGCAGGAGATGATGACATTAATTTTGTGCTTTTTTTTCTTCAACTTCCAGAGAAAGACTTTTCACGGAACCCATTGGAGTGCACTGACTGACATTTTTGCTTTAATTCGTACTGAATGGTTGCTACCTGCTGTACAAAGACGGGCAGAAAAACCAAATGCCAGATTGAAAGTGCATACATTTGTGAGGCCATTTTGTTACACCTTTCATCAGCAAGTCAAAATAGTAGCAAAAAAATACAGAACGAATGGGGCTCCAAAAAGAAAACAATTCCTCCACAAAGGGTGCGGTATACTGTACAATGTCAATATACGTACATGATTAATAATTTTTTTATTTTTGAGGATACGCATAGACACGTTGACATCAGACAGATTTTGCACACGTGGATAGTCATTCCAGAATGTGTCAATAATAATTACTTTAAGTCCGTGTTGTGGTGATAAGGATCCAGGCAAGTTTGAAAGCTAACTTTTCATGAAAATGTCACTGAGGCTGAATCGGGCTCCACTTCCAGCGGTTTGCGGTAAATAATCGTGTGTGTTAAGTTGGCCAACGACATCCTGGTCCGCTCGCTTAGACGATGAAGCTTCATCAGGAAATCGTCATTTCCAACAATATATATCAGAGGGTTTATAGCGCTGTTTAAACACGCTAGACATCTGCTGACCTGGTGTGCAATATATACGTTGCGGAAGCTCTCGTGGCAGATGCCTTGTTGTTTCAAAATCCTGGTTAGGAGATTCATATTTCGGAGCACGTGGTAAGGGATGAAACAGATGGAAAACAGTAAGAGCAAAATGATCACAAGTTTCAAACAGCGCTGCTTTAGCAGGGGGTTAATGTTGGACTTTTTGGCAAGGACCCAAACCACGTGGCCATAGCACAGCATGATGACAAGTAATGGGATGGCAAACCCTGTAACCGTCCATCCAATGCTGTAGGGCAGATATTCTCTGATCCAGTCATTGGAGGTGGTGTCATAACAGGCGTTAAGTTTCTTTGCATCATTCTTGACAAAGAACACGTCCGGGAGGATCTGAGCAACAACCAAAAACCAAACCAGGGCGCTGATGACAAGAGAATGATGGTTGCTGATCTTGCCCATCACTCTCATGGGGTGCACGATTCCCAGGTACCTGTAGATGCTAATGCAAGTGAGGAAGCCGATGCTGCCGTACAGGTTGAGGTTGAAGCAGAAGCGGGTAAACTTGCAGAAAGGTTGGCCGAACTGCCAGGAGCTGTCCTGCGCGTAGTACGCCACAAGGAAGGGGAGCGTGAGCAGATACTGCAGGTCCGCCAGTCCCAGATTAAGCATGAAGATGTTGATGTTTCCTATGCTCTTCCAACCGCTGCACACGCTTCTTAACCCCCACGCGTTGGAAAGTGTCCCGACCACGAAAACGACGACAAAGACAGGTGGCAGAAATGCGTGCGTAAATTTCAAGTTGATTTCACACGCGGAAGTATTTGCTCCGTGCGTCAAGTCGACTCCTTGAGTGATATTTCCAGACATGACTTTTAATATATCTTAAGAACGGACTGCAGCCTGCGTGATCTGATGAGCATATCCTGTATAGGTTGTCCAAGTACTGTAAAAGCGAAACCAAAATAACTCCCTCCCACCTTGCCGAGGTGCGCGAATCAACTGAAGGAGTCGTGCGCACTCCGACGTGTAAACCACAGGAAATTAAATATACGTGCCACATTGCGCATATCTTTTGCAGATTTAGAGACTTAAAATGACTAACACGCCTTCTTGCATCTACTGTCATGTCATGTTTATTGTAGAAAGGGTTCTGAGAGCCTCCACAAGCGTCATGTTTATTGTAGAATCCAGGCGAGAAGCGGGTCGAGCTCAGCGCAGGCAAAGTTGGAGAATTAAAAACAAACAAACAAAAAACAAATACAACGATAAATACATATATAAAATAAAAAAGGTAAAACAACCCTAAAAGAAGATCCTAACTGAAAGAAATCTTTTTAAAGTGGACAAAGGACTTGGGTTTAGACCAGAGGTGTCAAACTCATTTTTGTCGTGGGGCCACGTTGGAGTTACGTCTTCCCTCGGAGGGCTGTTATAACAGTGAAGCCGAATAAATGTTTCTTCATCCATCCATCCATCCATTTTCTGATCCGCTTATCGTCACAAGGGTCGTCGGTCGTGCTGGAGCCTATCTCAGCTGTCTTTGGGCAGGAAGTGGGGGACACCCTGAACCGGTTGCCAGCCAATCGCAGGGCACACATAGACGAACAACCATCCACGCTCACACTAGCACCTAGGGACAATTTAGAGTGTTCCATTAACCTGCCACGCATGTTTTTGGAATGTGGGAGGAAGCCGGATTACTCGGAGAAAACCCACGCAGGCCCGGGAGAACATGCAAACTCCACACAGGGAGGCCAGAACCCTGCACCTCCATACTGTGAGGCCGACGCAGCAACCAGTTGACCACCGGGCCACCATGTTTAATAATCTCATTGCATTATTTGTACACAACAAATTGATGGATTATTTGTTTTGAAATCACTCAAGTCAAATGTTTGCTTGTTGAATTCGGTTTAAAGTTTCTTTTTTCCAGACAATGGTCTTTTTGGTTGAAGAGAAACACATTGACCTAGCTGACAGTTCCGGCTGTCACTTCAGCCTTTGTCGGAGCTGTCACTGTTTCCTTGTGATGTGTCTTAAAAACAACTATTGGTTTGTTGTTCGTTCAATTATTGTTTAAGTGAGTGTAAACAGGGTAACAATATTCCTGAAGAATCTCAATGTTATTTATGACACATGACAATTTGACATTTCAGTACAGATTTTTGCAAAGATCATGGAAGTTGACTGACATGATTTGCTTTTGGGGGGCACTTAAAATGACGTGGTGGGTCGGATCTGACCCCCGGGCCTTGAGTTTGACACCTGTGGTTTAAACAAATGCATCATTAGGTTTTGTAAGGGGTGCTCAGCATCCAGAAGATGGATTAAGATACTTGGTAGTGAGCTAGACTACAGCCTGAAAACGGTTGGTTGATATTTAACCCAGGGTTATTTTATTTTTTATTGTGATTGTTGTAAATCAACTCCACTTCTGGGTTATTTCAACTAAATGTGTTTCTTATATATTGTCCTCAAATGCTGGTTCGAATTAACTACAATTCTGGGTTGTTTCAACCACTGTACATATTCTTGTTCAGTAGTCTATCCAAATGCGAGGGTACATTCACCAATACACCAAATTGTTTTTATTATACATTGCAGCACAATCTGTAAAAATATTAATTCAATTGGATTACAATTACCAATAAAACTGTTCAAGTACAAACCTATTGCAAAATATGTTATCGATTTGGTCACTCAAAGCATGTATTATGCAATAAAGAACATGAGAATCATTAATAAAATTGAATGCTAAATATTTATAAAATCACCTTCAAGTCAAAAACAAGAAATGCTCATCAGTGTGAGACAAAACAATTCAGTTTCAGTGGAAAACAAGTCAAAGGACCAGTTCATGATCAGTACAATCAACAAGAACATAAAGGTGTGCTAACAGACTGCAAACATTACGGGCTGCAATTTGACTATCGAGAAAAGTGGTAAATTTGGACACTTCTGCCTATTTATAGACAAATGTTTGTATTCATTCCCCCCCCCCCCCCCCCCCCCCCCCCCGCACTCTTCCCATGTGTTAAATAGGAGTCAGCGGAGAATTTGGACACAATTTGTCCATTCTAAATCATTATGTGCTAACATTTCTGTGGACATCTCTACTTAGAATGAATTATCACAATAAGCCTCTCCCTGGCAAATATTTTCGCTCTGCTTGGTCTAAAATTTTAACTCTTACCGACTACCACGTTTTACTTTGTATTTCTTTGTTTCTTTTCGTTTTTCTTATAACCCAAAATGTGCCATTTGAAATAACATGACTTTTATGTCATGTCTGTGAGCTGCATTTGTTTCTACATGTTTAATAATCTCATTGCATTATTTGTACACAACAAATTGATGGATTATTTGTTTTGAAATCACTCAAGTCAAATGTTTGCTTGTTGAATTCGGTTTAAAGTTTCTTTTTTCCAGACAATGGTCTTTTTGGTTGAAGAGAAACACATTGACCTAGCTGACAGTTCCGGCTGTCACTTCAGCCTTTGTCGGAGCTGTCACTGTTTCCTTGTGATGTGTCTTAAAAACAACTATTGGTTTGTTGTTCGTTCAATTATTGTTTAAGTGAGTGTAAACAGGGTAACAATATTCCTGAAGAATCTCAATGTTATTTATGACACATGACAATTTGACATTTCAGTACAGATTTTTGCAAAGATCATGGAAGTTGACTGACATGATTTGCTTTTGGGGGGCACTTAAAATGACGTGGTGGGTCGGATCTGACCCCCGGGCCTTGAGTTTGACACCTGTGGTTTAAACAAATGCATCATTAGGTTTTGTAAGGGGTGCTCAGCATCCAGAAGATGGATTAAGATACTTGGTAGTGAGCTAGACTACAGCCTGAAAACGGTTGGTTGATATTTAACCCAGGGTTATTTTATTTTTTATTGTGATTGTTGTAAATCAACTCCACTTCTGGGTTATTTCAACTAAATGTGTTTCTTATATATTGTCCTCAAATGCTGGTTCGAATTAACTACAATTCTGGGTTGTTTCAACCACTGTACATATTCTTGTTCAGTAGTCTATCCAAATGCGAGGGTACATTCACCAATACACCAAATTGTTTTTATTATACATTGCAGCACAATCTGTAAAAATATTAATTCAATTGGATTACAATTACCAATAAAACTGTTCAAGTACAAACCTATTGCAAAATATGTTATCGATTTGGTCACTCAAAGCATGTATTATGCAATAAAGAACATGAGAATCATTAATAAAATTGAATGCTAAATATTTATAAAATCACCTTCAAGTCAAAAACAAGAAATGCTCATCAGTGTGAGACAAAACAATTCAGTTTCAGTGGAAAACAAGTCAAAGGACCAGTTCATGATCAGTACAATCAACAAGAACATAAAGGTGTGCTAACAGACTGCAAACATTACGGGCTGCAATTTGACTATCGAGAAAAGTGGTAAATTTGGACACTTCTGCCTATTTATAGACAAATGTTTGTATTCATTCTCGCACATGTTTGGCATTTCTTTGGGTCAGAGCGGTGTCTCAATGTGTTGGTCTCATGGAAGATAATCGCTCCACCATGTCTGCTCAAGGCTGAAAAAGAAAAAGGAAGAATGCAAGCAAGCAACATGTTGTCTTGTCCAGGGAAACCGAGACAACAAAAATCTTTGTAAAATTATGAGATTCATTTCACTGTGCACAAGTGAAGCATCAGCTCTTCTCTTTGTTTTATTTTAATCTGTTAAGAGTTCACGAATCTTAAATTTTCCAGACACTAAAAAGCTTTTTTTTTCTGTTTTTTTTGCTTGCAAGTAGCTTGCGAACACTAGTGCAAACACTGTTTATATATTTTGGAGAAATTAGTAAGTACCTAACTACTCTCAGAACACTCCATTCTAGTCAGCTATATAGCCACGGCCCCCTAGCCCCCCCCCCCCCCCCCCCCCCCCCCGCACTCTTCCCATGTGTTAAATAGGAGTCAGCGGAGAATTTGGACACAATTTGTCCATTCTAAATCATTATGTGCTAACATTTCTGTGGACATCTCTACTTAGAATGAATTATCACAATAAGCCTCTCCCTGGCAAATATTTTCGCTCTGCTTGGTCTAAAATTTTAACTCTTACCGACTACCACGTTTTACTTTGTATTTCTTTGTTTCTTTTCGTTTTTCTTATAACCCAAAATGTGCCATTTGAAATAACATGACTTTTATGTCATGTCTGTGAGCTGCATTTGTTTCTACAAAATAAAACAACTGAATGAACATTCTGAGAGACTGGCAATTCCATAACTATTGCCAGGGGTTGTATATGAACTGGATGCGTTTAGTGCAGCATCAACATTTCAATCAATTATGTTCCTCCTGAAACTATGAAAGGTTTATCAGCTGTCTGTTATCACTAAATATGTTATTCAGCTCACTTTGGCCCTCAGCCTTACAGCCACATCAATCACGATTCAAACCTGGCTTGATAAATGACAGCAGTAAATTCAGTCGCCAGAGGGTCCTTTACTCCTTCTTTCATGGTCAGTCATGAAAACGACAACCAAAATGTTGATGCCACGTGCCCTCACAATATATTTCAGTGGAACATCCCAGTATTTAACATTTAACTTCAAATCAGTTGTGCTTGGAGAAAGACCAAAGGCAAAATCATACAACTCTGTTGCTGTCCACATACTTTTGATCACAAAGATATACAGTATTTATGTCCAGTGAAATGGCCCAGGGTCCAACCTTGTTCATTCGGCATAAAATTGACACGTACCACAAATAATTGAACCAAAAGACATTTTTTTTTTTTTTTTTTTTTTTTTTTATGAGCGACATGGTGGGCGACTCACAGTGCAGATGTCGTAAGTCCGAATCTGGCCCTGGCCTTCCTGTGTGGCATTTGTATGTTCTCCCAGGGCCTACGTGGGTTTTCTCCAGGAGCTCTGGGTTCCTTCCACATTCGAAAAAACATTACACAACCGGTTAATTAATTGATCACTTTAAATTGTTCTTAAGTGTGATTGTAAGTGTGAATGGAAATGTGGGCAAACTACAGCCTGCGGGCCAGATCCGGCATGTTGGTCTTTTTAATCCGGCGCGCCAAAGATTGGTACCCAATTAAGGTTGTGAATGGGGACAAGATGGCACTACTCT